GGAACCCAGACTGTGGGTACAACACTGGATGAGAAGGAGAATCAAAATACAGGGACGCTCTGGCTCAGGGGAAGCAACTGGCCACACTGTTACTGGCTAGTCACCGGGCTCCACTGGCACATATTCTGTTTCAGGGATTTTATTTCTGTTTTTATCCACAGTCATGGAAGAGTCTTCTTTAGGAAAGTCTGAGTTAGAGATGTGAATTTGTCTGGCACATAGCTGGGGTTCAATGATTACTGATGAAGTGAATAAGCAAATTTCTTTCCACCCATTTGTGTTGGAAGATTGTTGCTACTGCCCTTTTGGACACTTTCTTTTTCCTAGTAAGTGTTTGTTTTCTTGTTTCTGACATGAACCATCCTCTGAGCTGCGCCAGCTGGAGGAGGAGCCAGACACAGCGTGAATCTGGAGCCCAAATCCTGGCTTCCAGGACTGCACAAAGGTAGAAGATATGGTGCTTCCCTGCAGAGCGTGGTAGTCAGTTTTACCTAGAGTGCTTGCAGTTGAGTAGGCTTTTTTGAGGACTAACAGAAATGTTTTAAAATCATGTCCTCAAAGGGCGGTGCCTGTTTTATATTTAGTAGTGAAAGATGCATATCTGCTTTCAGCTTCAGGAAATAGTCAAACTGAGGCCACTACACAACTGCTTTCCTATTTTGTCACTGAGATGAAAACAACACCTAGAATTTTAAAAGTGATTGAACTCTGGGAATACCCCCCATCATGTTGGTCTCATTTAATTACTATTTTTTGCTAACATTTGGAGCCTATGTAGTGTGGATATATGACCAAAAATAGTAAGGACAGAAAATACTTGCTGGCCATTTTATTTTAAATAAGAAGGGTTGATTTCCATTATTCAAACTATAGGAGGCAAAAATTAGATGTGATTTTTAAAACTGTGTGGTTATTTGTGGTAAGTCACTGGAAGTCTTGGTGCCTTCCCTCCAAGAGGTGATGGATGGCACATGGTCACCGTGGGAATGCCAGAGTACGTGGTCAGTAGGGATACTAATGCGAAGTCAGTTATCCAGAAGTTGCCTTTGCTGTTTAAATGAGGCCGCCCAAAATTTCTTACTGATGATGCTCGGCATGTTTCACTTTTTCCGGTACACAGAACCCTAGAAATGTGTCACATTTCACTACTCTTCATCAAAATAAGCACTTTTAGATTTCTAGTAATATTGTCTCATAAAATCAAATGGTCAGTGCTGTTTGCATGTTATATAAGGAGGCAACTCACAGCAGTTACATGAAAGTTAATTATACAGCTCATCCACTTACAAGAGTTGCTGAATTCATGCGTCTGCTGTAGCCTAAAGCAAGGAACTCTAAAATTTCATTTCTAAATATTGACTTTTTAACTACCAGCACTGATTCCATTTTTTATGGATGAAAAGTTAGTGATTAAACTAGATGCAATATTTGTTACAATGCAATTAAAATTTCTACATTAACCAACCCTCCAGAAAGAAAAATCTTCACAACAATGTGAAATTAATTATCAGTCAGTAGACAAGTTGGGTAGTGGTTTCCTGTGTGAAGGCAACTCCAAAAGAACGATAAAGACAATGAAATTTATTGGTCACTGTCGGACTGTAATGGCAGAGACAGACGTACCACAACGTCAGATTCCACATCCAATTGTGCAGTCCCATAATTGTATTCCTGCCTGATTGTGATAGCTATCAACCAAGAAATTTACTACAAGATTAACAGAGACACAGTAATGAAAAAACACAGCGGCATCATGTAATTGACTGTTATTAAAGTATGTCTTCGTGCCCTGTAATAAACTCCTTGGCTGCAGCTTCCTGGAGAAACCCAAGCCAAAACTTTCTATCACTTTTTCCTTTTTAAATCAGGCTTTTTAAAACCACCCCCATGCAGCTACTTAACAAGCGCATGGTCAGAAATCTGAGGGAATAGACACAACAGATATTATGAATTAGAATTTTGGGTGGGTTTCAAGACATGGAGAAGTTGGGGTTTTCTTCACAATGGCAATGAAATGATCACACATCTTGCCATTTCTAACTTGTATCAAATGAGTAAAGCAGGGCAGAGAAGAGAACTGTGTGGCGGGCGAGTCAGTTTTCTCCGGATGCAGCCTCTTCCATTCATATTTTAATGAGGTTAGTATCTCTGAGGCCATCCTTAGAGGGCAGTGGCTGGGTTCCCGTAAGATTACAATGGGAGTTGCTTTAGTGACAAGCACCATTCAAAATCTTCACAGTCCAGGAAAAAAAAAAAGACTCAGTTTTATTCCGCTGGTCCCAAACTTACGGCACTCTTAGAATCGAGACAATCTGGGGAGGAAAGAAGCTCAGATATTCTATGAATAGAGTTTAAATTTTCTCTAAAGGTAGTTCAGGTAAGGAGAATCATTTTAAACTCTAATCATATCTATTTTAGCAAAATCAGGGTGTGTTGTGTACGTGGACCAATTCCCCACAAGGAAGGTAATCACTGTACACTATAAATATGGGCTAAAAACAAATAAAAGCTGGAAAAAAGCTGCTATGATAAGCATCTTTTTCCGTAATTTTTTTTTGAGAAATCTCCTGCTTTAGGATTTTAAGATCGATTTTTTTTTTTAAATGTTGACTTCTGTTTTTTTCATCTTGGGTTTGTTCCCTCTCCTGTTTTGGACGACAAAGTGTTTTTGAGCTATCTGCCAGCAACATGTCCTACTTTGAGAGAATCTCTACTCCAAAGTGCTAGCGAATCGCATCAAACAGCGTCAGCTTTCCTGAAGTTAGAGAACGATAGAAATTCACACTGCTCTTTCAATGCTGTTCTAAAACAGGCACACTATTGCTAGATCCCAATGTGTAAGATTAGGCTTCCAGGATAAGAAAAACAATTCACTGTTATGGAGAGGGCCTTCACGTGGGGATTGTTTTAAAAAATCACAGCCTGGGAGAGACAACGGGCATCAGAATCAGCCCTGAAGGCCTCAAATGTGGGCATGCATCGAGGTTCTGCACAGGAGGCCAGGTCAGCCTAAAAACACAAACAGCTAACATCAACAAAACAGTTTCGAGGGTGGCCTGGCTGGCAGGAAGTGCCTGGTGTCTGAGGAGGGGGCTCAGTGGGGTTTTCAGAGCCTCCCCATTTCCAGACCTTTGGCCCTCCAGGCCCAACACAGTCCCCAGCCCCCAAGCATCAATTCTGTTTACTTTCCTGAGGCGGAGAGGGGGCAGGGGAACGGAGGGCCAGAGAATGTTCAGATTACAGTTGGATTTTTAAATGAGAGCCCCTTCTTCACTTTCCAGTAAAATACTGCCTTATTGGCACCCCAAAACTGATATATATATATATATATATATATATATATATATATATGTGTGTGTGTGTGTGTGTGTGTGTGTGTGTTTGATGGGGAGCTATACTTGAAAACACATGCATCTCAGGAAGCAGTTACATCCCTGATCGTTTTAACGATTTGCCTGAACTAATTGTAATTTAAGAATTTATCTTTGCATTTTAGAACATTTTCCAGAGACTCCCGTGTGTTTGACGCTTGGTTTCTATCAGTTAGTAACGTTACCACTTTGCTTGTTAACCTGTGTATTTCTTTTTATAGCTTCCAGAACTTGAAGGCCATCATTCAGGCAGAGACACAAAAGCAACTATTTGGAATGTGCACTTCGGGTAGACATTTTTGTTTTAAATTAAAGCATTCATGAAGTTTTTTTTTTTAAAACCTTGGTACTTTAGGGACTAGTGCAAGGGCTGTGGCATATTCTAAAACAAATTATTTCATTGCAGAGTTGAACGCTTGGGCCCGGAGAGCCGCTCAAAGTCAAACTCATGAAGTTTGGGGCCAAGGGCTTTACCTGTTCGCGGCAGGTGCAGCGGGCAGGCGGGCGGGGAGTGGCGCTTTTCTCTAACTCTCTCCTCTTCTGGGTCCCTTTGAACGTGTTTGCACAGAGTTGATTCCTTATTGAAACAGGGCTGACGGTGGCACCGGGGTGGTTTATAATCGGCCCGGCCCGCCGCACTCCCTTTCATGTTAATTCCGCCGCGCTGGCGGATCAGATTTGCGGCCAGATGGCGGCGAAGCGCGGAGACCCTTTGTGCGCCCGGGCGCGTCTGTGAATGTCGCGCGGTCGTTGGCACCGGAAGGGTTCACACTGCGTGTGAAAGGGGACAAAGGAGGCTGGATATATCAACACTGCAGAAACTGAGTTCATTTGTGATGCAGCCCCTTTCACCGCGGTTGTCAGGCAAACTTCCTACTTTGATCAGCAGAGGGTGAAGAGGGAGAAAGGCGCAAAGCGCGGGCCTCGGCGCAGTCCGTGCGCCCTTGGCGGCTCCACGCCCCCTTCCGGAAGGAGCCGCGGGACGCAGCTTCTGCACCTTGACCTGTCTAGACGGGGCCCGTACGTTTTTGTGTCGGTTACCAAGGGCTCGGGGTGCTCTTTGACCCGCGCCCCGGGCAGACTCTGTGGCTTTGGGGCCTTGAGGATCAGCCGGACTGGCAGGAGAGGGGCGCCCGGGGCGCACGCCAGCTGTGCCCAGGGAGTGCGGTGGTGACTCGTGGCCAGGGGAGCGCTCCCTATTGCGACGAATGGGGGAGAAAGGCAAACTTTGGCTCCTACTGAACGGATGGGCGCTTAGAAGCAAGAACAGTCTGTGTCTGTGTCTCTCTGTCTCTGTGTCTCTGCTTCTGTTTCCTAGATGGTAGCGTTTTTTGTGACTCACGCTTTTTCTGCACATTCGAAAACTTTTAAAAATGATTATACGCATGGGTATAGTTCTTAGTGTGAGGTAAGTTTTCTGCCCACTTTCAGATCCATGCACTCTTCCTAGAACTAAGCTAACCTTAAATGTTTGCCAATAACGCACCAGGATTAAGGCTCCACACAGTAACGTTTGTTTGTTGCAGCCTTGCCAGGGGTGTTTCCACATGCCTTTCCCTGTACTCTCTTTTCCACAATCCCACCCCTGTGTCCTCGTGTCCAGTGTCCTTGCCATCTGTCTCTCCCTAGGTCCCCCTGGTCCAGTCTGAGGCATTCCTCATCGACCTTCTGGATAAAGTGTGCGAGCGAATGAATGATTACCAGCTCGATGAAGACCCTGTGACTAAGGAGAAGTATTTCCGGAGATACGCGCCGAGGAAAGGAGACAAGATATACAAAGAATATAAGAGGTTCTATTACTACTCTGACGCCTATAAACCTCTGAAATTTGCGGTAAGCTCTCTCCCTGCAAGAGGGACCATGTGACCTAGAAGCCTGGTGTGGGTACTCTCTTTGTCCTCTGCTTTCTTGTTGCCAAGCTGCAGTGCATGGGACAGTAGAACGTGCATTCAGTGTCATCGTGTATTTGGTGATCCTGCTGCTACTGGCTAACTGTTCATTTAGTGACTCTCCTTTTGAGACACCCAAGGGCAATGGAGAAATGAACACGATGTTTTATGGAGGGGCCCTCCCCAAAGTGTGCTCAAGTGACCTTCTCTTGGTGCCCAGGAGGTCTGACAGGTCTGCATCTGAGGATGGGGCAGTAGGCTAAAAATCCAAATAGAAAAGCATGTCATTTTCAAATGTTTTAGAACCAATTGATGGAAGGGTACTGATATAATCATCTTTTTCCTCCCAAGCTTCACAGAACAGAGGGACTCCCACACCCAATTAATTGAAGAATTTTAGCACAAACTAAGTTAAACAAAGGCTTAGGTAGGAGAGTTGGCATAAAGGCAAATTTTCTTTTAGTATAATGTTGATTTTGTGGGAATGGTGACCTCTAGCTTGCTAGAATGTGCCTGGCAGAATATATTGCAATATATTCCCTTTACTTAACGTGTTGAATCATACAGTGATGGGCAGCCCTGTTTAAAAAATGTATTAAGTTCACGAGCTGATCAAAATGTCAGGCCTGCGGAAGCCCTGAAATGAGGGCTGTGGCTGACATTTGGAGATACCGTTTTAATTAAAAAATGAGGGTAATAATTCAGGGTTAAAAGTACCGTGGCATAGCACTGGCAGTGTTCGGTGTTTGTGTTTCACAGGTTTTAAATAAACACATTAAGGTGAATTTAAATATTCCTAAATGCTACTTAAGAGTTTTAGCGACTTGCTTGATGATTTCAGAAGCTGACTCCCAAGCTCTCTTGGAGGCCTTTCAGGAACTTCATCTCCTGAAAATGCTGCTTAGTTCCTTAATGAAGAACTGTCTCAGATGTAATTTAGGATTTTCTGATCCAGGGGCAAAGTTGAGTTCCCTCTGCCCTGCAATGTCAGGTCTTTTTGGTTTTTTTCAAAGTGAGGTTTTGTCTGGGTCTCTAATGGTGCGAAGAAACTTCTCTGACCATCAAACAGGTTCTTCACTGTGAAACTGAAGGTGGTTTGGATTGCTGTAAAGGAAGGCTTGTTTTTCTCACTTTCAAACCCCAGACTAGATTGTCATGTTAAATCAGAAGGAAACTGGGCCCACCACCTCAGGGAGCTGTGTTCTTTGAATTGTTTTTAAAAAGAAAACTGAGACCTTTCAGCTCCTTACATGAGAAGCCCATTTCTTCCCATGCTTGGCATTTTCCAGTTTTAGGGAGAGAAATACAAAGCACCCTTTCCTTCCTCATCCTCACCATCTTTCAACATAGCTAATGATTTGCTTAAGTCCCAGGAAATGATGCAATTAACATTCTGGGAAGAGGGCTAATCCGAGACAATGATGAATTAAGCCAGAAGGGCCCCCCAAAATAGACTGCCTTGGCTGCATGATCTCCTGCGTATAATAAAACGCTGCTAAGTCCTTCCCAGCAAGGTGCCCGACCAGTGCACATCCATAGTGTAGTGTGTTCCCATTGTGTCTCTGCAGTGCGAGAGCATAATAGAAGAACACGAAGACGAAATCTTCTCACTCATCGCGCGGGGGGCACAGCACTTCGCTGACAAACTGTGCGGCGGGAAATCAGGTACTGTGTCTGATGTAACATGTGCGCGCTGTGCCTCCGCTGCTCAGCCGAGCACAGCCTCAGCAGACCTGGCCTCGCTGCTGCCAGCTGCATCTGCGAACCTCGCTCTGCTGCGGGTCCTGGGCTCTCTGAGCTGGAGCCACAGGATCCTGGCTGTGGGTCCTCCCCTGCCTTTCAGATGCACCCAAACCCCTTGATTTCCAAAAGGCGAAGGAGCCCGTTCCTGTTGAGAATTAGGTTACCTTAAAGCACTTGCTTTAAAAGAAAAAGATGACTTTGAAAGATTGGACTTTTCACCCTGATCCAGGCAAGGAGAAGGTCATGGCTTAGGTATTTGTTATACTAGTAGAAGGTGGAATTCTTATTTTGTAAGAAAAAATTTTTAAGTTTGATTGTTTGAGGCTGGGTAGGCTGGTTTTTATGGTGAGTGTCTGTGTGTTTGTGTGGGTTTTTCCCTCCTTTTTTCAAGTTTCTTTCCCAGAGTGTTACTTCTTAAAAATTTTTTTGAGCTTAATAGGTAGAAAATAACACTCGACTCATTCTTAGACACACACACTGCAGACAGGCACACTCACAGGGAATGAGCAGAGAGCGTTGTTTACTATGTAACAAGGTAGAGTCTGGACTTGGTGGCCCTGCCCTCTCTGGAGTTAAGCTGGCATCCACTCCTGTTGCTTTGATGCTGGTTACACATGCGCAGGGTGTAGTACAAGTTTGTGTTCTTTCCAGGTATCTTTGGAAAGAAGACAAAGGGGTATATGTGCAGACAGCAATTTAAGGCCAGTGGACTTTTTAAAGCCGTGTGGGTCCTTAGACATTCAATATTTTGCCAGTTTCCAAGAAAGTACAGTGTGCACAAGCACATCTGCTGTGTCAGACTCAATGCCAGAGTCCTTAGAATGACACTCACTGCCTGTGTGTAAGTAAATGCTGAGAGCATCCGAAGTTATTAGGTAAGGTGATCATGAACTCGCCACTAAGAAAACAGTGAGCGTTTCTTTACAGAGTAGATAAATGGGTTGCTTTCGGTTTAAAATCTGGTTTCAACTGCAATTTAGAGCAGAATACTGTGAAATGACGTCGTGGGGATTGTTCAGCCATTCGAAATTTTTTCCCACTGATGTTGGATATGGAATTAGAAGTTTGTGAGATTCATTTGATTTCATAGCCAAACTTCCCAAAGAAACCAGTTTTGAATTTTTTTTCTAATGATTTGGTAATGCAGGTGTGCAGATATATGTAGACATGTAACAGACAGTATTTGAAGGGGTTGTTGTCCTGTTTATTTCCTTATAGAGGGTTTGGATTTGTCATAATCATCTACCCTAACTGCACATAATTTGCTATTGGCCACCTATGCAGGTGGAGAAAAGCTTGAATTTCACTCCCGGTTCTTGTCGTCCCTGAATTAAGATTCTGGAGTAGATTCTCTTACCAAGTTTAGTGTCATGAACTGAGTTTCAGTAACATTAATGACCTCTCGTCCGTCATCCCTTTCACATAGTTAACACTGGAAATTGAAGTATCAACCCTGAGAAAGCATAAACTTAAAGACTACACTTACAATACAAGCGATATTGCTAGTATGTAATAAAATAGTAGATGATCTTTAATTAGCATTTGCTTTTCAAACAACAGCTGTCCACCATGCCCAGGGCTGCAGAGAGTGACAGGTAACTGAGCATGGGGAAGCCAGTGGGCACGTTCAGGTGATATTTCTTCATCAATTGCACTTGTAGGTGTGGTAAACGATCCATAACTGAGAATAAACTAATTTTTAAAAGAAGCAAGATGCCTCCTCTGAAAAACTTCCCACTAAAGTAAGTTAACACGGTAGAGAACTTTTCAGACTGAAATATTATTGCTAGAAAAAGCTAAAGCAGCACCCAGTGATGGCCAACCCAATGAATGATCATAGTAACAGCAAAGAAGTGCTGTGTTCTAACGTATAGGGACACTTCTGACCACTGTGTGAAACATGTGGCTTTTGTATCACCGAAGAGCTCCAGGGTCCCTAAAATATGGGTGCATATGTTTTCTACTAGAGCAGGTCTCACCTCCCCTGTCTTGGGGAGTGATGCTGGACCTCTGCAGGCAACATAATTTCAGAGGGGTGACTCTGTGTGTGTGTGTGTGTGTGTGTGTATGTGTGTGTGTGTGCACCTGCCCGTTTGTAGCTGTTTACTGAGTATATACTATGTGCAAGTTGCTGGTGCTGACTTCTAGTAAAACGTTCACCTATTGCTTTTGGAGATATCAGTCATCATTTAGAAAACAGATACTTCTACAACTAGGGATTTGATTGGAAGTCTACTTTCTGTATTTATTATGAACTTGGCATTTACATGAATTTTGTTTTTTCCTACTTAATGCACGTTGTTCGCTTTGTCTATAATAGTTATACACGAGAGGATTGAGGACATGCTCACCGTCTTCAAAATTTTAAGGCTTACAGGCACTCACCCCCACCCACAAAAATAAATGTGGTATGGTGGAGAAAACATATTGTATGTCCAATTTAAGCTGTGCATGTCTGAGTTAAGGAACATCACACAGTGAGCTCTGTGCACACTCTTGTCGTCTTTGATGAAGTGTCCCATCTCAGTGAAGGGTCCAAGCCAGCAGAAGTCTGGGGCTGCCACCATAACCCCAGGCACCAGAGAGAAGAGGAGCAGCCAGAACCCTTTTTCTCTTGGCAGAACTGGAGAATGGCAGACCTCAGCTCCTTCCTTCCTCACATGGTTCTTCTCCTACGCAAATATTAAAAGAAAATCATTATACTTAGCTGACAAATGTTCTGTGCCACAGAACCCAGGGTTTTCCAGGTGTCCTTTTGCTGTCTTGAGGAGAAAATGATTAAAATATTAGGATGTGATACAGGATGTGATCAAAACACAACCATATCCCACACAAGGTAGAAAGCACTGAGCTGTAGATTATAAATGAGTAGATATTCATTATGTTTGTAGAGGTATTTGTTAGACTGTGTATAGGGTATAAACAATACATAAATGTCTTCACTGCCTAGCACTTCTGCTCTGAGACCAAATCCTAACATTTAAAAATGTAACTGCAGGATTTGCCACATATGTATTTTAAAGACAGTATATGGAATAAGATATCAAGTATCTGGAAATGTTTAGCATACATTAAATATAAAAACATTGCTGCTATTTTGTCTATCCCTCCCAATCAAAATGGAGAATGTTAAATTCTAAAATAGAAAATAATTACTTTCAAAAAATAGTATATTTCAAATCAGCTATGTAGATAAAACTAGGCACAGCCTTTCTAAAAAGGAAAGACTTTCACTGTTTTCAGTTGGAAAGTAGTGTAAATCAAAACACCTAGCTCTCTCTGATTCAATGCCCAGTGGTCATTGCTCATTCCAAGTTGTGGAACTGTCTCTGAGCTGGTGTTCTCTCTACCCCACACCCACAGGTGAAATGACACAGTACCTAGCCTTGCTTTAAAATACTCTTGCCAAAACCAAGAGGATGAGACCAGAACAAGAGAATGCGATCATTGTGGAAGTGGGTTTGGAGCCCAGAGGAATAGATTACACCCTTCTTTATGGTCTGTGCATATTTGAACATCTCCATAATAAAAGCTGAAAAATATGCTCTCAACAGCATGTACTTTTTGTGGAATGTTAACGACTTGGTGGCCTGGTATTTGAGTTGATAGTAACACCACCTAATTTTTTTTTCAGATCTGTGTGGAGCCTCGGCTAATGACACTGAATTCTAGAAGTGGTGTTTGACTCATTCCAGGGAGAGAGCAAAGTCACAGCTCTGAAGGTCAATGTCTGCATGACTTTCATGATGAGGAAATTTGTCTTGTTTATACTAGGTTTGTCCCTGCATGAAATTATTTTGAAGATTATTTAGCATCATGGCAAATCCTGACTCTCTAGGTGAAGCCGAGGAGTCCACCAAACTTATATTTCCTTTGCAGATTTGGACCCAACAGGCTTGGCAGTAATACTTTAAATTTGGCTGTGGGGGAAAAAAAGCAAAGCTTTTTCATAGGAAATTGGGATTTTAAAATTTACACTGTGTATTTCATAGCAAAGATACATAGACACATACAAATGTATACCAATGATTTCTCAAATACTTGACTGGCTACAAATTTAGGGAAATCTATTAGAAGCAATTTCAAAGTTAGTCCTCTGAAGGATTCTATATAGTACTGAGGAAAAGAATGCACTAATTTTTATCAGGAATTAAATGTAGATTTCAAGTTTAAACTATAGTTTAAAAACTTAAATTTTAAAACTTCTTCTCCAAAACAGTGGGTAGGTGAAAAATAATGAGTATTCTTTACATTGAGTGATACTTGAGTCCAAATAATTTGCAGGGTGGATTTATCATGACCTTGTATATTAAAAGATGACTGTAGTGACTGAGTTTTGTTCTGTTGCAAACCCTCCTGGGCTCTTTTCTCAAGATTTTTGGCTAACATTGAGCGTGTGGATTTTACCACTGGGTAACGTATCATTCTTCTAATGGGGGGGGGGGGGATTTTGGCCAGTGTGGGGAAGGAAGGAGAGGGTGGTGTGGTACATCGACTGTGTGGATGCAGTGGAAAGTGCGGTGCTTTGGGATATTTAGCTGTCTCTGTTGAATTTGCACTCAATGGAATTAAATTCAACTTTAATTATTTGGTGTCTTAAGGTACTGGCTGTACTTGTTTAAATAAAGAAATTCTTCAAAAAAAAAAAAAAAAAGATTCTCTTGGTTCCCAGTGAAAATGGAGTGGGTAGCACCATGCAAATTCTATATCAAAAAGCTAAAATTGTGGGTGCTATTGTTATACGATTGCCTAGAAAATACACTCTGTACCCCATTCTCTTAAGCCTGGACCTAGTCTTGAATTTAAGAACAATTTCCAAAACCAAGGAGATGGGATGTCTATTTTCTCTCCTCTCCCTGTCTTATTAAAAATCACAATGGGTAAATGACATTTATCTGGGAGTCTGAGAGTCGATGTAGATTTGTTTCTTGCCTGGTAGTTTTTCAGGACACCAGTAATTAGTTGGATGTTACAGACCCTACAGTCATCTGTGAACCTGTATGCCAGCTGATACAGTAGAAATAGGGAGTTAGGAGGACCCCACAACCTTTTCTCGCTGGGGAGTAGAGTTGTAATTTAAACATGGTCTCCATTTGAGATTAACTTTGAAGTAGTAAGGCATGGACATTTTCCTAACTTGGGCTTTCTGGGCAAATGCACAAAGACTGACCGTGATTTCTGGAAACACAAGTGACCGTCCTGGAAACCAGGTGGAGACTGTGGTACGGACATTTCTACGAAAGCTGTATTAGAATTGTGGAAGGGTAACCCCCTCCTTTCTACCTCTTCAAGCACAGACAGAGTGAGTTCTAGCCCCGGGAGTTCAGGAAGTGGGAGCCCTGTTGCAGCCTTCTGTCTCCACAGAGTGTTCTCATTGATGTTCATGCTTCTGCCTTGAACAGAGAGAACTGGACTCCTGCACTCTTATCCAATACCACATTTTGCCAAACAGAGCTTTCAAGTTTTAGTAGTCTTGGACTTCTCAGTAAAAATGGTCTTGTGTGTCACAAAATTTTTCATAACTTGTCACTTGCATTTTTAAAAATTTCCAGACATTCTTCCAAGTCAGACTTGCTGAATTTGTGTAAATATTTGTGGAAATGCATCTATGTGTGCAGGGGCTCCCCAGCTTCCCCAAGTGACTGGGCCGCTCTGCTTCCCTGTGCGAGCAGGGGTGGAGATAGCACCGGGGTCCCTGGTACCCCTCTTCATCGTGTTCTTGCCTTTAAGTGGCATTTAAGAACTAAAACAAAGAGCAATCTAAAAAGCCAGGAAGAGGCCAGGAATATAGCTCAGCGGCATAAGCACTGCCTGGCAAGAGCAAAGTCCTGAGTTCGATTCCCCAGCATCAGAAAGAAAACAAAAGAGCCAGGAAAACAATGGAAAGAAACAGAAAGAAACAGTGCAACACCTGGTGTGTGTGAGAGGAAAGTTTCTTAAAGTTACCCAAATTCTAGGGTCAGACTTCCTGGAGAAAGGGGGATCCTATTAAAATGGAGAGCAGAGGAGATAGTTTTGGAGCTTCTGGCTTCAGACTGTGGTCTTTTGGATGGTGCGTGGGGGTCTCTGTAAAGACCTACACAGTACTGTTCTCAGAGCACAGTGGCCTGGGGAGACAGCACCTCTATTCCATGGGTCACTAGTTCCTGAGAGGAAGCCAAGACCAGTGAATCCATTTCACTGAGAACTAGAGAGCAGAAAGGAGCCGACAGAGAGAGATCAATACTTTATTACTAAGACAGGCCCTAAAAGAGTTAATAGCTGCCTATATTTTTATGCCTATTTCTTGGCTTAGGTTGATATTTATTTAAAAACATAATCACTTTATGGAAAGAAAACATCTTAAATTTCAGATCCTAATGAGACACAAGGAAAAGCCTTTTGGGTGTGACTTTTTGGTCTGCTTTTCAGTGTGATACAGATGTGTCAGCTTACATTGAAAGCACTCGTGCTATTACAATAAAAATGTCTGTTAGGTACCTGTGTGCCTTTATTTTGTTTCTTTACCTATGATTTAATTCTCCTTTATGAGCTAAAATTGTTCAGATTATTTGCTTTTATGAGCAAGGAGCTAAGTGAATAAACATCAAATGCAGTAAGAGAAACTGAAATATGGAAGTTGTAGAAATCCGTTGCCCTAGAATCACCTAGGGAAAGACACAGTGAATGGCACTGTCTCTTCTGGTGTGATCCTTTCCCTGCCTGGGAATGAGCCTGCCAAATGGGAAGGCTCTGCTCAGGATCTGCCCCCATGGTGGAGGTAGCATTGAATTTGGAGCAGCCTGGCTCACTTCCTGTAAGGTCCTCAGTCACCGCAATTTGTAAAAGTGGAAGCTGAAATGTGAGGTGCAGCTGGAGAAGGTCCAGAAGGTCCAGAAATGGGTGCATGGCTGGATCGATGGACGGATGGAACCCTAATGCAGACAAGCACATATACAGAGTTAAATAAGATCAAGACACAGGAAGCCAGTCAGAGTGCTGCTCCTCCAGAGTGGAGATCCCAGAGAAATAATGTCTGGGAATTTTTTTAATTCCTTACAGAAAATGCATGATTCCTCTGCTCTTTACCTTGAAAAATGATCCCAAGACTTTTGTGAAAGAAAAAAAAAGTTAAAACAGATATAGAAAATGCCTTATCCCACAACAGCTGGATATTTGTAAAACATTAATCTACTAAGAAGCTGCTGGGAAGCAGACTAGCACTGCAGAAATACATTAGAATCTCATGTGTGCCGTTATCCTGGAGAATCCTGTTGGGCCAGGTGGTGTGTCCCCAAAACAACAGCATAATAAAAGCTCAGAAAATAAAGCAAGTGACTGGGTAGATGGCCCTGTCCCCTCAGAGCCAAGGGGTGGACATGGGCCTGGATCCAGGTGGGCTGATGCTTGATGTGATGGGAGGCCAAGAGGCCCTCAGGAGTGTCAGTGCCCCACATCCAGACACGCAGGCTCTCAACCAAGCGCTGGATGCCCAGCATCGCCTGAGCATGGCTGGCACTCAGAAGTATCCTGGAAGCGCTAAGTTAAAATATTAATACAATTTCAGACTCTGCGGATAACAGAGTTAGCACCCGAAGCTTCAGAATGTGCTCCTGACATTTTATATTAAGGGCCTGCCTCCCAGCAGCGCTCTGAATAAGTGGGAATTTCTCTACAGCATCTCGTCTGAAATTGGCCGATAAAGGGTGACTGTAATCCTCGGGGTGACACTGATGCTCCAGAAAGAGAATCCAGTCACGTGACCCTTGCCACCCGATAAAAATCGTCTTCATGGCTCTGTTATCCTCCATCGGAGGCCCTGATGACGCACCTTCGTGCCCTCTGATCAGCAGAAGAAAGCGGGCACCAGAAGAGACTGTGTGCGCCCTATTTAAAAAGGCACAGTAGGCAACACTGGAGTGAGTTCTAATTCAAATGCGGGTTCCATCAGCACTATTAGATAATTAGACCTGAGGTGGAAACACACCCTTGAACTCCTTTCGTTTGCAACCAGGGCCCTGATTAAGCATTAATGCCTGGAGATTAGAGGGTCACGGGGTGTCTGTGGCTTTTCATGTTTCTTAAGCAGTGCCCAGTGGTGGGCAGGCAGGGTTGCCGGTGAGCTTCATTTCATGCCCTTGGTGGCTGTGAGGCTCTGACCCGGTTCTGAGGTGCCAAAGAGCACGGAAAGCTCCTGATGATTCCCGGGCTGGGGCAGCCTGGGCTGGGCAGCTCTTGCGGCCTGCAGTGAAGGGTTCTTCCTTACCCTGTGGGGAAGGCTGAGGCCTCTGGGCGCTCACAGGCAGATGGCAAGGGCCCCCTGCGGAAGAGCGGTGAGGCTGGGAGCTAGTTGGATGTTAAACACTGCGAAGCCACTCCACGCAGGGACCCTGTGTCTCCCTGTGGACCAGGGACTCTGTGAGGGCGAAGATGGATATGCTGGGTTCTGTTTTTAGGAGCTGCGTTTCCTTCCATTTGTAGAGCGAGTCTTATATCCTCGACTCCTTGAGCGGCTCTTCCCTTCTGGTCACCATGATTTGCTCCTGGAAAAGGGGAGTTTCCACTTGTGTCTGCCCAGGGTTGGGTTCTGTTCCAGCTGCCTGGAGATGCAGCCCAAAGTGAGCGGGACCAGGCTACTTGCCATGCCCTGCCCACAGTGGGCAGCAGGCCTGGGTGGGAGCTGGTGGGCAGCCCTAGGCCTGAGGTTCCCTGCGAGGACAGTCCATGCCCTTGAGCTCTGCTATCCTTCCCATCTACAGGGGTCCCGTAGTAACAAACTCCAAGCCAGACTCAGACAAAGCCCTGTCACGAGGAGTGACAGCTGGCTGATCTCCTCCCACCCATTCCCACTGCATTTGCGCTTTGGAAAGCCCAGCACAGCTAAGAACGCCTCTTCTAGGTTGGCCCAGAAACCCCGGCTCCATGGTGCCAGCTGAGACTCCATCCCTCCGGATAGAGCCTCTAGGCACAGTCTTTCTTGCACAGCTGGCAAGGGGCTGGGGAGGGGGTACCCAGGGTCACAGCACAGAGGCCTCCACAGCCTCTGAAAGGTGGCCTGGTGCCCCTCCTTGAGGCCCCTCTTGCACAATCCCCATGAGCAACTTGAAGGTTTTGGGGCTCCAAATGCCCACCACCAGGAGTCTTAGTGTGCCCTCTTCTAACACCTGGGTCACCTTTGCCCTACTTTGCCCTTTATGCCCATGGCCACATTCACAAGACACCTGGCATCTTTACCTGGAACTGGGAAGGGTACAGAAGACACAAAGGGGACCCTAGGTGTCCCTTGTAAGCCAGAAATCTCTGGCATGCCTGGGTGTGCAGGAGGCTGTGGAGAGTCCTGGCAGGGATTTTAGGTGATGCTGGCTGCCTCGTGCCTGAGATCTAACCAGTGTATACAGGGAAGAGGCCAGGGGTCTACCTGCTGGTGGGAAGGATAGATGTGCTAAGGGGACACTGCAGGTGGGCAGGGCTCAGCGTGCAGGTGGCAATCTGGGACAGGACTGTATAGCAAGGACTGGGAGGGGAGAGGGCAAGGAAGCCACCTGAGACCTGTGAGGGTCCCATTGGGTCACTCTCCCTCCATGTGTCTTTTGTCCAAGGAGGAAGTTGTGGATAGGAGAGACCACAAGCTGCTGCAGGACAGGGAAGGTATCCTCCACCTCTTATGGTGCCTACCTGCCCTGCTTGTCCTGGGCAGAGACCACATTATAGGCTCGTGAGCAGTGTGTGTGACAATGGGGCACTCTCCTGGCCCTGGTGCAGTCTTGGATATTGAAGACTCAGTGTGCTGGAGTCCCCAGGCCTCCCCAGAAAGACTCAAGGGTCACACATAGGACTGGGCATCCCATCCCAGTGCCCACACCTACCTGCAGATCTCTGGGCACTGGTGCTTCTTGAACTCCAAACACAAGCTCTGCTTCTAGAAGGCTTCCATTTCTCTTGCTGTCAATGAGCAGAATAGAAACCATTGTTTGACCCTGACATAGAGTTTGGCAGTGCCAGGACCAGGAGCACAAGAGGGCCGGACCCCTTGGCCAGGTGGTGTGTCATGAAATCCCCTGCGATTCATAACTTGTGGCCAGGTTCCCTCTGCTGATTTTCTTCACCCCTCAATGAAGGGCATCTGCCATGGCCACATCTCTCTTGTTGGGGGGCTTCTCATTCTGATTCTTTCTCCACATTCCCTCAGTGGACCTAGGACCATTCTCCAAGGGCCTCTTTCCCCTGATGGGGACAGGAGGACATCCCATGTTGGATGCTCTCTGGAGTCTTTGGAAGCCTCCCTGTATAGCAAGTGAAGTCCCTAGTGGCTCTGCTGCAGCCTTCCCTCTTCTAGGAAGGTCTTGAGGA